TGGCGGCTGGCGCGGAGGGTGGGCTCCGGGTCCCCGGGGACAGTTCCTAGGACAGCTTGGCCGCCGGGGCCAGGGAGATGGTGGGCCTGTGCGAGCCGGTAGAGGACCGCGGTGAGGTGCCCCGAGATAGAGGTGCGGGGCTGGACTGTACCCCCAAATCCTGGAGACCCCGGTTTCCATCCACAGATCTTTGCTTCGTGTGCTGTGTCGGTGGAGGGGAGGTAAAAGGCTTTGCCCGATGGGCTGAGCCAGAGGAAAGATGAACACGTGACTCAGAGATTGGTGCCAAGATGGTAACGTGAAGGCTGATCGCGAGATCAAGAATCACACTGTGAGGGCAGGGCCGAGGTCGCACGCCCTTCTGAAACGCCTCTTCTCTTTTCGGATATTTGTCTTAGAATCAGTGGCGGGGTGGTGGTTCTTTCTTCCCTGGGCATCTCTTCCCCTGCAGAGCTGGAGCCCTGCCTGTTGGCTGGATGCTCAGGACAAGCTCCACTAAACCCAGACCCTTCTGCTGTGGCCTAGAAGACCGCAAAGATTAGGCCCGGCTTTCCCCACGTAGCCACAGTAAGAGGAAACCTGTCATGGGTAACATTTCCCGGAAAAAGGGCAGGTTGTGTTTCTTCCTTTATTGAAATAAACGTGTCTTTCTCATACCGTTTCTAACTTTTCCTTCCATGGAAAGCCAAGACTTACAAATCAAACCATGAAGTAATAAGGTTTCATGCCCTACACTGCTCCAATTAACTGAGACTTTTAGAAAAAAATATTTCATTTCTCTAGGCCTCAGTTTCTTCTGCATAAAATTAGAATTTGGATTAAAAGAGCGCTGCCTAACTATTGAACTAAACAGCCATTGGATTCTGCTGTACTTGTGAACTAAGAAACTTAGTCGTTTCATTCCGCACACTGCCCACTGTTTATGCAAGAAAATGGAATCAAAGATATTCAGGATGGTGCATAGGTGAATCACATTTCTATTATGGAGTTCATAATTACTGCTCCGAAGAAGGAATGAACCAAGACGCATTACTTGATTTTTATAAAGTAAAACTTTAGTACTAATAATTATTTAGAACAATGATGATGTGTTTGTGGGATGTTGTATACTTTTTAATAGACTACTTTGGAATTTTTTAAAAGCTTGGATTTAAAAACTTAATGTAAATGTATATGCATATACATGTATGTATTTACAACATTAAAGTTTCTCAGCCACTTTACTTATACTAAGTATATTTTTTATCTGAAAAGAGATGTTGCTACTGCAAAATATAAAATGGGTCAAGACTTCTTATAAAGGCATGCTCTTATCTATCATCCTTGGTAGCAACAATTTGTAGGGTTAGAATTTGATTTTCTGAAGTGTGTATGTGTGTGTGTGCATGTGTGTTTCTTTCTTTCTTTTTCCCTTGCTGAGGATGGAATTCAGGGTCTCATACATTCTAGGCAACCACTGTACCACTGACATCCTCAGCCTGTGGTTTAATTATGAAAATAAATAGCAAATATTCATAGTTTCCTAGATAGTTACTCATGAGACAAGCTACTTGTACATATGGTTTAGTTGATGTCATGATAAATCTTGAAATGTTTTTAAAATTTTCCAGAATTCCCACATGAAACAGTTTTAGAAACTTCCTGAGGTAGTTCTGTGCTGACCTTCGTTTAAGTATTGGCTCTCAAGGAACGTGTTAGCATATTTTCTTGCTATTCTAGGTCTCTTCTGGCTCCAGATGAAGTTTTTTCTAGTTATGTGAGATATGTTAGTACTTTGATCAGGACTGCATTAAATCTGTATATGAGTTTTGGAAGTCAGGCCATTTTCATTATATAAGTTCTGCCTATCCAAGAACAAGCAATATCTTTCCATTTCCTGATATCTTCTACAATCTCCTTTTTAGAATATTGTAGTTTTCAAAGTAAAAGCCTTTGACTTCCTTTGTTAAATTGATTCCTAAATGTTTCACTTTTTTTATGCTATTGTGAAAGGTGTTGTTTCCCTAATTGCTCTCTCAGTGAGTTTGTTATTTGTGTACAGGAATGCTATTGATTTTTGAGTGTTGACTTTGTATCCAGTTATGCTACTGGATGTCTTTGGTGGAATTTTGGGGTTCTTCTATGTAGAATATCAAGTCATCTCAAATAATGATTATTTAACTTCTTCCTTTCCTATCCTTTTTCCTTTATTTCTTTCTCGTCTAATTGCTCTGACTAATGTTTCCAAAACTATATTGAATAGGGGTGGTGATAGTGGGCATACTTGTCTCGTTCCTGATTTTATTTTATTTTTTATTTTTTTGGTACCGGGGATTGAACTTGGGTCCTTGCGCTTGCAAGGCAGGCCCCCGAACTGCTGAACTAAATCCCCGGCCCTAGTTCCTGATTTTAGAGTGAAAGCTTTCAGTTCTTGACCATAGATGGCTTTTATCAGATTGAGATAAAGACCATCTAGTACAATTTTCTATAAGATGTTTTTTTAATCATAGATGGGTATTGGATGCATCAAATGCTTTTTCTGCATCTATTGGGATGATTATGTGGTTTTTGTTCTTGGTTCTGCTAATGTAGTGTATAATATTTATTGATTTGCATATGTTGAGCCATCCCTGCATCTCTAGGATGAATCCTACTTGGTCATGGTGTACAATGTTCTTCATGATTTGCTGCATTCTGTTTGCCGGTATCTTATTGAGGATTTTTCCATCTATGTTCCTTAGGGAGACAGGCCTGTAGTTCTCTTTTTTGGATTGATCCTTCTCTGGTTTTTGGTTTCACAGTTGCTTTCATGAATGAGCTTGAGAGTATTGCTTCCCCTTCAATTCCATTAAAGAGTTTGAGGAGTAGTGGCATTAGATCTTCTCTAAATTTCTGGTATAATTCAGCAGTGAATCCATCATGACCTACGTTTTTCTTTGTTGGTAGTTTTTAAGTCACTTCTTTAATTTCATTAATATTGGGGTAATTAGAATTTTTATAATTTCTTGATTCACCTTGGATAATTCATATATTACTAGGAATCTGTCCATTTCTTCTGTGTTTCCATCTTATTAGAGCACAAGTTCTTGAAGTAGATAGTGATGATCTTCTGGATTTTTTCAGGATCCTTTTTTATTTCACCATTTTCATTCCTAATTGAATAAATTTTCATTTTTTCCTATTTTTGATAAGGTTGGCTAAGGCTGTATCTATTTAATCTTTCAAGGAACCAACTCTGATTCACTGATTTTTTTTTTTTTACTGCTTTCTTCGTCTTGCATTGATTTTGGCTCTGATCTTTATAACTTCCTCACTTGTAAGCACTTTGGGTTTAACTTGCATCTCTTCTGCCATCTCTTTGGTGAACAGGTTTTTTATTTCCTTTGTATTACCTTCTGATTTTTTTATTGATTCTGATCAATATTCTCTTATTTGGAGGATAAGCTGTTGGATTGATTTTTCATGACCCCTTGCTATTTTTGAGAAGTCTCTCATTTGATGATTGCCAACCATATGATATTATGTCCTCATATTGGTTGATTCTGCTGTGTATACTTTCAGTAGAAATTTTAATCTCCTGGATATCTGTTTAAATCTGTTTCATGGAACCCATTCATGGTTTCTGTCACTTTCCTAAACTCCTCTTTTTAAAAGAAACCTGTTCTCTATTCTAGATTTACTAACCATATCCTTCATTATGGTAATCATTTCTTTATCTGTGTAATTGTTTTGATTTTTTTCTATAGACTCTTGCATGTGCTTTGTTATTTCTACTGCTATCATTTCCGAAATTTTAGCTTGGTGTCTTTTTATTTCTTCACCTCAAAGCCTCCTAGATTTGCCTTGGGTATCTGGAGGTCTGGGGTTGCATCTTGCTTCTATGTCTTCTCAGTTTCTATTTCTTTTCATTTGTTTTCTCTGTTGATGCTTGTGAACTGTTTATGGTGGGTAGCTTCATTATTAGTATCAAGGCCTCTTTGGTAAATGACTACTTTTCAGAGATATCTTCTAGGTGCAGCTGCATTTTTGCTTTTGAGCCTGTCTCAAGATGCTGCCTCTTCAGCTTCTTTTTATTCCCCCTTTAAGTTTACTGGTACATTTATAGCAAATAATACAGTTACATTCATCAGTGGGATCTTGTGCCTTTGCATGATAGGTCTTGGTTCTTATTTTTTCCCCCTACCCCTGCCCCACCTTCACCCACTTCACCCTTCCCTATCTACAAAGACTTTGTTTCCATTTTTTCCTTTTTTTACATTTTTTCTTTTCCCTTATTTCCTTTCCCCTCTCCTTCCCACTCCCCTTTAGCCATTTCTTCCTATTTCACACTATCAATTATACCACTTGAACCTTATTTATGCTTTTAGTTTTACACACCAGAGAAACTATTCAGTATTTACTGAAGTGTGTCCTATTTGTTTCACTTAAGAGTATGGCCTCGGCCGGGCATAGTGGTGCACTCCTGTAATCCCAGCACTCAGGAGTATGAGGCAGGAGGATCGCTGTGAGTTTGAGACCAGCCTGGCCTACATAGTGAGTTCCAGGACAGTCTCAACTATACAGTGAGACCCTGTCTCAAAAAAACCCCAAAAACAGTATGGCCTCAATGTGCATCCATTTAGCTATAAATGTCTCTAGTTTCTGATTCTTTATATCTGAGTAGTACTTACTTTTATAGAAAAACCACATCTTCTTTATCCAGTCTCCAGGTGATGGACAATTGGGCTGCTTCCAAGTTTTAGCTATTACAAACTGTGCTGCTATAAACACGGGTACACATATGTCACTGTGGTATGATTCTTTTGATTCTTTTGGAAAGGTTCCAAGCAGAAGAATAGCTGGGTCTAATGGAACCTCTAATCCTAGTTCTTTGAGGTATCTCCATATTGATTTCTACAGTGGTTGCATAAGTCTGCACTCCCACCAACAATGAAGAAGTGTTCCTTGCTCCCCACA